AAAAAGAAGTTCACAATCCATAGTGAAGCCAGACAAGTAAATGATTAATGATGAATAAGTGTTAAAATTAAGGTAATAAAGGGCTATTGTAGCAATAATAAAGGAATGATTAGTTCTGCCTTGGTAGAGAAGAGTCAGAATGAATAACAATATAAAAATCATAAGCTGTTTCAAGTAAATTCAGAAAACAATTGTAGATAATCTTCGCGTATGAAGAAGTGAATCAAATGTCTGAATATATCCATACATCCCCATTCAGTTGACAAAGCTATGTATGCCACCACTCTTCCATCCAATGCTCATGGTCACTTAGCACTAATCAATCAAGGTACTCCTTTCTGCTAAACATACAGAGATGGTTTTGGCATAAGAATTCTCAAAGCAGTGAGCTAAACCAATCAATTATCAACTGACTAGATTTGGTATTAGAAACGAAACCTGCTTGCTAGGCAGAAAGCTCTCTGCATAGCATAATGTACACAAAAAGTATTTAATAAATATGATGGGAAAACACTGAAAAATGCTGAAATGTGAAGTTCATTAGCAACTTACTAAAAAAAAAAGCCTGAAGTATGTGTACTGACTGATATGTGCGCTGATTCCAATAGTACCCTCTTAGAGAAAAAAGAAAGGGGACGTAACAAAATACACCTACTTAAGATTAGAATGAGTAAGAGGACCTATCAATGAGGACCTTGTCATTAATCCTGCTGAGTCCGCAGCGATGTTTAAATGCTACTTGTGGAAATAAGCACAAGAACACTCTTTCTATAAATTGCAATACTCATAATTCCTTTAAAAATAGACCAAAACTTGAACATAAAAAGTTTATTTTATATAAACTGAAACATAAGACTAAAATAACCGAAGGGTCACAGTGTATGTTAATCTACACATTCTAAAGTCACTTATTTTAGCCATTCATGAAACCTGAACAGGGCAGGAGACTTGTGATGACATGATGGAAACTGCATGGTCACAAAACCTACACCATTCTTTTTTTTTTTTTTTTTTTAGGCTTTTATTTATTTTTTTGACAGAGAGAGACCTAGCGAGAGCAGGAACACAAGCAGGGGGAGTGGGAGAGGGAGAAGCAGGCTTTCCCACAGAGCAGGGAGCCCGATGTGGGACTCAATCCCAGGACCCTGGGATCATAACCTGAGCCGAAGGCAGACGCTTAACGACTGAGCCACCCAGGCGCCCAAAACCTACACCATTCTGTAGCCACAGAGTCCTTCTGGGAAGAGGCCTGAAATAATAATTAGAAATATATATACATATGTAATATACACACACATACATATACATACACACACACACATATACACCGGTGTGGTTAGGGTGAATATTAAGGCAAAATGCTTCTTTTCTTTTACATCACTCCTTATGCAGACCATGGTCAATATAATGAACTTAAAATGTTACTTTCATTGCAGTTCTTGCTTATCTGAGAGTAAGTGCTCCCAGGACAAGAGTTCTTTTTCAAGAGAGAAAATGTGTCTTAAAAATATCTTGAAATTAGAAAATATCAAAAGGAAGACTTCACACAACTTTTTAAAAAGAAAAAAAAGCCTTTCCTTTCCCTAAAGCTGCCAAGAAAGTCCCTATCTCCACCAGTCTGTGGGAAGAGAGCAACAGGTAAGGCTCTTCTCTTTCCCCATGGCCAAAAGGCTACCCTAATTCACTTTCAAAACATTCCACGAAGTCCTAGCAAGCTCTTTTTAAGTCCTTTCCTTGGAAAAACTCTGAGTTGGCCAATGACACTGAGAAAGATGGAGTTTTATAACTTCCCTGCAGAGTGTAAGCAGAAGGGGAGGAAAAAAGTCAAGGAAGCACAGCAGTGAATCAGGGGATCCCGGAGCATGGCGGTAGCTCCTTCCACGAGGCCTTCCTGGGAAGTAGCCAAATGAGAAGAGGCCAATTCAGACTACCTGCATTCTTCACCTCATGGTTCCATTCATTTTCTAGTTCTCAGAAGAGTTTCACTGTTACACTGAATTTCTCAGCTGTCCACTCCAGCCAAAACGGCTTATAATACGGTCTTCCCTTCCTTTCCTTTTCTACCTTGTTTCTCATGCCATTCCCCCAAATCTATAATGCCCTCCTTTTCTCCACTTAGCCAGTTTCTACTTATCCTTCAAAACTACTCAAATCCTCCTTTCTCAAACCCTCCAATCCTCAGGTAAAGCCTTAACAGATCAATCTCACCATCTTTTCTGACAGTATCATTAGCTAACACTTAATAAGCACCTACTATGTGCTAGGCATAGTTCTATGGTCTTTACATGAATATTTAATCCTTGCAAAATTTTATAAGATAGGTCTTATTATTTCCCCATTTTACACATTAAACTAAAGAACAGAGATGTTAAATAATTTGTCCAAGATCATACAACTAATTAGTATCATGCTTACAAACTTGGAACTACACTTTTTCTAATCCCTAGTCAGTTTCATTAACTAAAGAGCAAAAGCTAAATGAAGAAAATATGAAAAAAAGTACAGTTGTACAAAGCAACTAAAGACAGTACTGAATAGCGAACAACTTTTCCATTTGAACCTTTAATCTGCCCTAAAGAAAAAAAACCTTCCTAAGAAGCTACTTGTGTTCTAATTTCCAAAGGCATGACCTTTATTCTCAAGATGTCACCAATGTTAGGCCTCTCTTACTTAAATACTGTTTATGTGCTGGGAAAGAGGAGACAAAGAAGTTTCCCTTCTTGATAGAGACCATGAATTACTTTTTCTTAGGAGGAACACTTTAGGAGATAGTGTTACTGTTGTACTCATGTAAAATCTGAATTAAAAAATGAGAATTTGTATATACAGGCAAAGGACTAACAGTTCAGAACAAGCACCCAAATGCTACCACTTTCATGGGATGAAGTAAAAGATACAGGTTTGGGGGCGCCTGGG